ATGGAAATGTTTCAACTTGTTGTAAAAGAATAACATCAGATTTTTGTCTAATATTGACAAACTAAACTTTATTTATTACACGTACCGAAGTAAAATTTTCATCATAGTTTATGTTCGTTGTTCAGTTAAATCATTTAATTCAATTTCATTACGATATGCTAATTTGAATTTTTCCAATTTTATCTCAAACAAAAATAAATTTGATTAAGTATGTTCCTTAGCTCCATCAGTACCACTTGCTTTAATGTATGTCATGTTAATTTTTGACAAGGAACTATCATTATTATGATCAGATAAGTTTTCATCTTCTTGTTCATCATCGATTATTTGAGAATTATCTAATAAAATCAACATCGTACTTCTTCGTCTTACACAATAAAGAACGAAGTCACTATTGATAACATATACATCACGATACTTTTTCAATAACCTTGAGTGAAAATTAATTTTGCTTTTTTTTTAACTAAAATATATATGCCAGTATTGATATTGAACGAATATTCATACAAATGAGTATCAAAAATAGCGATAAAAAAATATTAACTGAACTATCTATGAGGTCAATGTTATGCATATATCTTTTATTAATCACTTTTCTATTTTATATCATTAACTTTTTGTCGTACTCCATAGACCGAACAGTAGATAATTATAAAACATAGTTCCTCTTATGATTACAAATATTAATTTCAGTTATAATCCATACAATAGTTTTATGTAATAGAGTGAGATTCTCTTTTTATCTAGAATAAAACTAAAATCTACATCGAATTCTACAATTTTCTGTTACATCTCGAACAAGATGATATACAAAAAAAATACTATCTTTTTTTCTTATGAAGTATTTTTAAAATTAAACATTGATATTCATCTCCACATTGTACGCATCAGAAAAAGAAAACATTCAACAAATTTTCATTTCACAAATAACAGAATTAAAATTTCAAATAATATATTTACATTTGATATCTTTTTTCTTCCTTTTCTTTCATTCAATCATCCCTTATTTGACTGCATATTGAGCGCACGACATATGAGTTGTTCTCACACATTCAAGATCAAAAAGCTTAAATGAAATGAACATGAAATGTTTAAAGACGAAAAAGATATCGTGCACTCAATTTCTACACGTACGTGCAAAACACCGATTGTTTTCAAACGCTGCGTAATTTAATTCCGTTACGTCGACGTCGTCTTTCATTCGCGTCTTTTCGTTTTTATTTTTTTTTTCTTCTTTCCTCTTCTGTTTCTTCTCGTTCTTCATAACAGAAGAACAAAAAATTTATAAACAAATGGAGCTTTCGGAGGTGGCTCTAAAACAAAATGAACCTTCCCAGGGATATTCGACGTTCTGTTGGTGACCCGTTCAGGCGTGCATATGGTAGGCCTTCATAACATACATTTAATGTATGTATGACTAGCAGCTTCCACCTTGTCATCGTCTTTTTGAAGACGTTGACTATAGAAGTACTAGTCATTCATATATTAAATGTATGTTTGCATAACCATTGCCAGCTTTGTCCACTGTACGAGCCATCAGAATACGGAGGGTATCCCTGGTAGTGTGTGCGCGAAATTTTGCGTTTGGTGAGCCTTATGTTCAAGAATGGCAATTTATTTTCTCTTTTGAAAAGAAAAAAAATTACATTTTCTTTTTCACACCTGCAATGTTATTTTTCACAAGTGCAATATGTGGATGATTTGAAGGTAGTGATTTTTTCCAGATTTCCTGAGCTTTTTCATAATATTGAAGTGCTTTCGAGTACTCGCCCATATTATTACACACCACAGCGATGTTATTATAGGAAGAAGCCAAGTCGGGATGATTCGGAGGGACAGCTTTTTTGTCTATTTCAAGGGATCGTTCGTACAATGAAAGTGCTTTCGAGTACTCACCCATGTTATCATACACCGAACCGATGTTGCTGTAGGATTGAGCAAAGTCGGGATGATTCGGAGTGAGAGCTATTTTTCGGATTTCAAGCGATCGTTCATACGATGAAAGTGCTTTCGAGTACTCGCCCATTTCGTCATACACCATACCGATGTTGTTGTAGGAAGTAGCCAAGTCGGGATGATTCGGAGGGAGAGCTATTTTTCGGATTTCAAGTGATCGTTCGTACGATGAAAGTGCTTTTGAGTACTCGCCCATGTTATCATACACCAAACCGATGTTGTTGTAGGAAGCAGCCAGATTGGGATGATTCGGAGGGAGAGCTATTTTCTTGATTTCGAGTGATCGTTCGTATGATGAAAGTGCTTTCGAGTACTCGCCCGTGTTACAATACACATTACCGATGTTGTTGTAGGATTGAGCAAAGTCGGGATGATTCGGAGGGAGAGCTATTTTTCGGATTTTAAGTGATCGTTCGTGCGATGAAAGTGCTTTTGAGTACTCGCCCATGCTTCTATACACCTCTCCGATGTTGTTGTAGGAAGTAGCCAAGTCGTGATGGTTCGGAGGGAGAGCTATTTTCATGATTTCAAGTACTCGTTCGTACGATGAAAGTGCTTTCGAGTACTCGCCCATGCTATCATACACCGAACCAATGCCGTTGTAGGAAGCAGCCAAGTCGGGAAGATTTTGAGGAGTGGTGTTTTCTCTGGTTTTGAGTGATTTTTCGTAAAATATAATTGCTTTTGCGTATTCGCCCATATCACTATACAACCAACCAAGGTAATGATTGTAAGCTGATTTTTGGTTATCAGAAGACGCCGTTTTGAGGAGAGTCTTATAAAGTTGTTCTGCTTTCGCAGGCTCACCCAACTTAATAAGTATATGGCCTAGCCGAGACCATCCTTTTGTTCCGCTATTCTCCTGGCGTAAATGTGAGGTAAGTGCGTTAAGTTCGTTATCGTCATTGCCCGTAAGGCTGAGATTAACTTGCCATAGCCGATCTGTGTCATTTTCCTCGATGCCCTTTATTTGATTGATGCGAAAGATCGTATGTGTCGTGAAAAGTACTTCTTCTTCTTGATTGTCGTAGTAACCGACACCTTTCACATCGACATAGGGAATTTTCGATTGTACGCATACCACTGGATCAATATTCATAACGAAGAGTATGGCGACAGAATTAGTATTGCTGAGTGACTGACATGCAAAGCCAAGTGAAATGTCTCGTTGACGACTGGTTGAAAGGAAGTTATTGAAGGACATAAGTCCTCCTTTTGTTTGTTTTATTTTGTCGAAGTCTTCCATGGACAAACCTTGTCCACGGAAGACTGTGAATGGTCCACTGGTGGGCTCATCGGATTGTTGTTCGCCATGTAATTTTTCAATATGTGTGTGTAAATGACGAATAAAAAAACCCATTCTCATTATAACATCGACATCCATCAGTCGAAGAGCATGATTGAGCATAGAATAAATAAAGAAGGGACCTGTATACCACCAACTTGGTGGATGATCATGATATTCTCGTTCGAGCTTTTCTAGTGTGTCTGGAGAAGCAGCATTGTGAAGACGACAATAATCAACCAGTTCTTTAATAGATGTCGCGTCATCATCTTCGATTTCCAAAAATGCTTCTTTAAGCAATTGTGTGTACATAAACAAAGGATCGATGCCACGAAAACTCATCGAGATCATAGATCGACCACAATGTTTATAGTCAATTTCTAATGCTTCACAAAGCGGTTCAATTTGTGTGCAAATACCTTTTATCTTAGATATTTTTCTTGCCCATTGTTCATGAATTGATTGATTATCACAAAAAACATATACGGAGTTCAATTGTGGACATGCTTGAATCTCTGGTATTACGTGTTGTCCCAGTGAACCAGATACGATCATCAACACTTTTTCATCTTTAATGTCACTAAGATAATCAACACATTGATCAGCATCTGTAAATGTAATAATTGTTGCTATGACATTTCGAAGCTGTTGCATTGATTGTTTATAATCATTTTTTGCTTCATCGAAATCGGCATCAAGCCAGATCAAAAGGCAATTTTCCAGAAGCGGACGCATACGTTCGGGCAATACAGCACTACTATTGATGGTGGTCATCGTCGTTCGCTCACTAGCAGGAGTTTTTGAGGATTTCTCTGTATTTATAATCGGTATATATATGAATCAATGAATGAACGCAAAAGTGAAACGTCGCTTTCCTGTGTTTTTATAATTGTTTATTCTCTTATTTCGATACTTTTTTTTCTGGCTTGTTGCTATAGACTTCAAGGGCTTGAGAATCTCGATCGTTCGTTTTTTTTCAAGAATATTGTTGACGAAATGACGACGACGAATGGGCCAAACCTCTGTGCATTAAGCAAGCAGCAAGGAAGAACAAGAACGAAAAGGATAAACAATAAATGCATTAGAGTCATCCATAGAAAAGAAAAAAAATGAAAACTCATAAATAGAATTTTAATAATGTTGTTCTCTGTTTGTCTTTTGTTGTTTGTTTAGTTGTCAAGCTTTTTTCCAACATTGCATTAAGTAAGGTATTATGTGTGTGTGCATGTACATCTAGACATGTAGGAAGAGAAGAACGGTAAGAAGACCAAACGAAAAACACACGTATTTTGTTCGCTTGATTCGTTGCAATCAAACAAAATTCAAAATCCAAATACACGATAGAAAAAAATATATTCATTGATTATTTTTTACCAATTTTATCGTAGAATCCCATCATCGCGTGTGGGTTTTCTCTTCATGTACACACTTTCCACCCACACCCATCCAACCTCAAAAAAATGATAAATTTCTTTGTTTTTTTAAAGAAATTTGAATTGTGGTTCATTTAAAGCAGGTATTATTGAAGTTGTTTTATGTTCGAGTGATTTTTCATGTTAAGTTCTTGCTTGTGAAGGACCACGTGGTACAACTTATCTAATTAATTTTTCTCAATCGGTAATGGAACATGAAAGTTGATTTGATAGTAAATGAATACAAAATTAATTAGATTAAATTAAATATTTTTTTTAAATGAAATTTAGAATTTTTGTTCATTTCTTACAGATGTATAATAAAAGGTAGATATAATAAATAAATAATGGCAACAACAACAATGATAACTTCAACTCCTATGGAAGATAAGAAAAAAACTTTATCAGCAAATAAACACAATCGATCAACTGTTGCTCGTACACTTAAAGTAAATGATTAGGTAATTATTGAAAATTATCTTATTTATATTCTATTTTTAGCATGATCCAAAAGATGAATTAAAAAAAGATGAACTTAGACAATTAGTATGACGTTTTGAAGCTGAACTTCAAGCTAAAGAAATTGCATTGGCTACATTGAAGGTAAAATATTCAATTAGAAGAATTCTTTCTTTTTTGCAAATAAAATCACAAATTAATTTATGGTATATGCATTTTAGTTCGAAAAAGTAAAAATACTTTTATCAAATGTTCGATTTGGTCGTCTTAGTGGTCAAGCTGATCGATATGTAGCATTACTTCGTGATAGTGGACATGTTAAAGAAGATATACTCAATGAACAAATACCAATGAATAATGTATATGAAACACAACCTGTACAACTTGAAGAAGTTATTATTCAACAAAGAAAACAAGTAGAAACATTAAAAATTTTCACTTGATAATACTGAACATAGATTTACTTTAGTAAATAAAAACAAATCAACTTGTATTTATAAATAAATACATTTTATTTTAGTTGGTTCAAGAACTCGAAAATGAAAAAAAATTCCATTAAAAACATTTCAAAATCAATTATTAATTGTTCAAGAAGAAAAATTTCAATTACGAAATGAAGTAATTATCTCAAAAAAAAGAATTTATTTAATTAGAATAAATGTTTTATTTTTCTAGCTTGATAATATTAAATTAGATAATTAAGATTTAGAACAACAATTAAATGAAGTAATGAAATTACTTGATCATGAATATGAACGACATCAAAAATTTGTTATTCTTCTTTTAAATGAACGTAAACTTGAAAATGAATATCATAAAAAACAATTAAAACAATTATTATATCATCACATCGAGTAAGAAAAAAAAGATTTTCTTTTAAATTAATTTTTTTTAAAATTCTATTTTAGTGATGATAGACAATGTGAATCGAAATTTCAAGAATTAGCATTACAAAATAAACGCAATAAACAAGTCTTAACAGCATGTATTAAACAATTACACAGTGAAATTGATTTATTAATTAAAGAAAGAAAACAGCAATCCGCAACAAATAGTAATTATTTATACTTTTTCTCTTTCTACATATACTATGAATATATTAACATTTAGATATGTCATCACCAGATGGAGAAGTGATTGAAACAATTTCTAAATCTCAATCTACACCACATCAATTACCACGAACAGTTTCTGAAGCAGCACCTCCAACGAATGATTCATCACCACCATCATCTAATTCTGAAAAATCATCTATATATCATCAATAGGTGATATTCACCGTCCAACTGTTATTTCAACACAATCATCAAAAAATGCTCATGATGTAATAACAAAAATAGGAATTGTTCCTCCATCAATTCTAACACGTACACAACAAACATCATCTATTCTTGAATTACCTTTATTACCAGTACCTATTGTTGAGAAACGTAATGTTATACTTACTTGGTCAATATCAAATGTTTTTTAATCTCTAATCACGTCAAATCTTCATTCATCACCAAGAAATAGTCAAATATCAATATTATCTATTCAACTGGTTCATCAACAACAAGAAATAATGTTACACGTGGTGTTAATGGTATCCCACGTTTAACAAAAACTACACATCAAATTATTAAACCGACAACAATAACTGGCCTTACACAACGATCTGATCGGTAAATCAATGCTTTTTTTCTATTTATCTAATAAAGAAAAGAAACGATAGTTAGATAATTCAATAAATGGCTTCATATTTTTTCTTTTATTATTTATTTCGAGACAAAAAAAAATTAGTCTTGCGTTTCTGTATTCTTGCCTCTCAATCTTGTAGACAAGCTTTTGTCAGAACACAAAATTGATGATCTATGAACTCTTTCGTTCATCTATGCTTTTTGTATTTGTGTGAATATTTATCATTGAAATTCTTCTTGTGCTTCTTATATACATATACTAATAATGTTAATCATGTCTCCCTGATTAAACTTTTCTTTGTTTTATTTCTATTATTCATATTTTAGTTGCTGAAAATTGTTGTATATCTTCAACAAACGTTACCAATTTATCACACTACACAGATAAAAACGATTTGAATTCTGTCATCATTATTAATTTCACATTTCGATTTAATCCTTTGTCGAGTTGCTGAAAATGGAAATATAGGTATGAAATCAATAATTTTTTTTAGTTTTATAGATAAATTAAAACAAAAACTTCTTGTAGAATAATTATTGAAGTTTCTTAAAGTTAGGTCTAATCCAAATAATTAAGTGGTTGATGAAAATACATGTCTTCGTCTATCTGCATCTAATGATCGGATCGAGTAAAATCTTTTGAATAAATTAAACATGAAATATAATCTTTTCTGCTTTAGATGTGTTCATCATTTACTTAAATTTAGTGCTAATTCATTACTTGGAAATAATCTTTGTTTAACAGCATGGTATAATTTATCGAAATTAAATGAAACAATTGAACTTGAATATTTACAAATATTTGTTGATATCAATCAAATTCTGGTGAAGAGTTTTATATGATTATAATAATTAATTATTATTTTTTATATATTTTAACCACCTATAAATCTAATTTTCAATGCTATTGTACATAATCATATTTATACTTATAGTATATCTTTTAGAAAATATTTTATTTGTTTACAATATAAACAAATTATATATTCAAATAAAAGAGAATAATAATCAATTGACAAATGATCTTTGATAAATAAAACATTTATTTATTATTCTATTCCATAAAAATCTTTTGTTTTTAGAATGTGAAATAAAAAGAGTTTTAAATTATAAACTATACTTAATGATACACAATCATTAGCACAATATAATGCTGAAATAATTGATCTTAAAAAATCACTTAATCGAACAATATCACATCAGAAAGAAGAACCAACACGAATAAAAGATCAAATTGATAAATTCCAAAAACCATTAGATATAACTGATAAATATAAAAATTTTATTTTATTTGAATAAATAAAAAAAATATTTCGAAAACCAATTAATAGAAAAAAGATAAAATTCTATGAATAAAAACATTTGAAATAAATGCCATGAAAGAATGTTATATATACAATTATTACGTAAACAAATTGATGAAAAAATTAAAAGATTTTCAAATAAATTTGTTTTATTTATTATTAATAATTATTATTCTATGGAAATAATATGATAACGTTATAGTTCATCAATAATACTAATTGAAAACGACAGTCTTTCTTTTTATGCTTTTCTGTGTGCAATTTCATATATGTAATATGCATTATTCACTTCAATTGTTTATATATAATGAATAATTTTTTTTTGTGTCAATAGTAGAAAAATAATATAATATGAGTTTTATAGATGTTAATATTTACTTTTTATAATTAAATAAATTATATTAGTCATTTTACGGAAAACGGACATGTATTTATCCTTCATTTGACTTTGATTCTTTATAAGTGTTTTTTTTGAATAAAATCTATTAGCATAGATATATGTAAAAATATTGAATCTTTCAGCTGATGCTTAATGAAAATTAATTAATTAAGAAGTAATTAGTGAGTATCTCTTTAACGAGATGAGAAAAAAAAATCCAAAAATTTCGGGATAGAATGTACAGTATGAACTACATCTATAATGAAATTTTCAGCAAGATAGAAATCGAAAAATTCTTCTCTTAAAAAACGGTTTTCTAGAGATCTCATCAAATCCAAAAATAAAAATCTCTGTCTTATCATCATTTAAAGATTGTGAAGGAGAATTTGTACAAGTATGAATTTATTTTGAACTTCTCGTTCAGTTATAAGAGTTTTTTTCATTTGCATATTTGTACTCCATCATACCCCAAACGAAAAATAAGCTGAATTTTTTTTTGAAAAGTCTAGATGTGCTCAGAAAAAACTTTGGATAGGAATTCTGTGACCTTAAGACTCGTCTATAGAATGTACCGTTTAGTTTTTTAAAAATTCTATCTCAATGCGCAGATTTTTGAAACTGAAATGCATGCAATGAAAATCGATGTCCTTTTTTGCATATCGTCTCTAATGCTATTGTTTTGACTTTTAACTTCTGTGAACAACGATCTATAGGGTTGATTTTTTCAGTGTATTTAGAGTAACTCAGCATGCATGTGACATATAAAAACCAGCTGTATGGTAAGTTCATTATCCAGAAATATACACATTTTGATTTTGCAAAGTCCCGTCTCTAACAAATGAAGTGACCTATATACATTGTAGTCATGTTATTTTGCAACATTTTCTATCAACACAATCATCATCATCATCAAGGAGAATTACTTGAACGATAAAAAATTTTGTATCAAGTAGCAGCAGCAGCAATATCATAGTATATGATTGATATATCAGTTGATTTTGATGGAATACAATATGAACTTGATATGCCAAATGTTTTTGCATCATTTGAAAGAATTGTTCTCCTACATATTTGGTTTTTACTTGTTCTTTATGTTCAATTAGGTGAAATTTTTCTAGATTGCTGAACTTGAGTTAGTATCGGTTTATCTGATCATACAAACAATTGTACAATTGACAATAAAACTTTTATTAAATCTCAAAAGAAAGTAGAATAACTACAGTATGCAGTCAAATACAAATCTCGTTAATAGAAATTTCTCAAAAGCTGATTGTTGGCTTATTATTTCATTCGATTGATATCAATAAGATTGACATTTTTCAATTATTAAAATTTATTTTTATAGATTCAACTGATGTATTTCTTCGTCATCAATTAGCACGTACAATGTATATAGATCTTGATTTACATGCTCAACAAATTCTTTCAAGTCAAAGTAAAACTCATTGTAATCAACCAGAAGAATTATATTCTGAAATGGATACATTTATATTTGTAGTAGATAAAAATCTTATTGATGATGATACTGTATTAGCTGCTGCTATATGGAAACATTTTTGTCATTTTCAATCAACTCCACTTGAACGTCTTGTTACATTTGTGACATATATAAGAAAAAATATTCGATATGTAGAACAATTACTTGATGAAAATTTTATGAAAAATGATTATATCTATTTTTTACCATTATATGATGATTCTGTTAATATAAAATTTGCTATTTAACATTATCTTGATTCTAAAAAAATAATAGAGGATAAATTATATTATTGTATTTTAGATAATTAAGTATGGATAAAACATTTGAACGCGTTTAACAGATGAAAATTTTGTACAAAATATGGGAAATGTTTTGGAAATTGTATGCAAAATGGGAAAAGGGTAATTAGCTAAACAATAAAATTTTCATTCGGTATTTCTTATTTTGATAATATAGATCGTATGGATTTGTATATAAAACAAAACATTGAGAAATAGGATATTTTTTAACGATAAAACAAGGTAAAAAGTCAAAAAATTACTTTTGTCTATCTAATTAATATTTTATTTTTAATGCTATTTGAAAGAAATTTCAATAGTGAAACAGTGTGAATCACCTTATATAATTAAATATTTTAATAGTTATTTTGAAGATGTTGGTTTATAAGTAAAAGAAATCATTTTTGTTTTTGTTCCCTTCATTTTGATATGTTTTTAAAGATTGTTATGGAATATTGTGGAACTGGTTCAGTGTCAGATATAATGAAACTTTCAGGAAGAACAGTAATAATAGAAATCGAATTAATTTCGTGGTTTTTTACTTAGAGCAGTCCAAAAGTAGTGACCCAGGTATTGTAATTCCTTATAATAAGATTTAAGAAACTTTCTTTCTATCTAGTCTGATAGAGAAAAGAATGCTCTATTTTTCTATGCTATTTGATCATACTTCAATTAATATCTTAATAATAAAATTTCGATAAGATCTGTTTTCTTCGCATATGTTATGATACTATCAATGCTCATTTTAAAAAAGGCGGATGAGTATTTTTTTGAATAACTTTTGATAGGAATCAGATAGAGTACTGTGGTTTTCATCGTTGGAAAGAGGAGATGAAGATGCATTGAATCGTATATTACAAAATTTCCTGATCTGTTTTTTGTAAGCTTTTCAATTGAATTTTTTAGAAATAAACCAATGTGCTAAATTGTTTGCAGTGAATTTACAATTACCAAGTATAGATTCAACCCACTAACCGAAGATCTAAATAAAAAGTCACATTTGTAGGGTTTTTTTGTTTCACAAAAGCATTTTTTCGACAGTTAGAACATTGAATAAAAATACTTCAGAAACCAATATTAGAAAAATCTGTAACATAAATCGATGCATCTTCATCTTCTCCTTTCAGCAGTGAAAATCACAGTACTCTATCTGGTTTCTATTAAAACTTATTCAAAAAATTCTTACCAGCATCCCTGCCACTGTGACACATGCGAAGAAAACAGATCTTATCGAAATATTATTATTATTATATTAATTGAAGTATGACCAAATAGCATAAAAAAATAGAGCATTCTTTTCTCTATCAGACTATATAGAAAGAAATTTTCTTAAAGCTTATTATAAGGAATTACAATATCTGGATCACTACTTTTCGACTGCTCTAAGTAGTTTTTATTAATTTAGTTAAATTATCACGAAACAGCTATTATATTAAAATATATACTTAAACGATTGGGATATTTACATTTATGTAGTAAAATTCATCGAGATATTGAAGCAGGAAATATTCTTTTAACAAATGATGATGATACTAAATTAGCTGATTTTGATATCTCTGTACAATGAACAGTAAATTTAGTAAATTTTAATGGAATAATTATTTGTTTTTTTCTTTTTAATAGAATACAATGGCCAAACGAAATATAATGAACGGTAAATATTTATAAATAATTATTATTGTTGTTTAATTGAAATAGATTTATTTTAGGAACATCATTTTGGTAAGAATTGGAAATTTTTATAAGAAAAATATGAGAAGAAAGATACTTGATTAGGATGGCATCAGAAGTGATTCAAGAAATCGGACATAGT